GGTGGTTGAAACTCTTTATACTGAAGCATTAATATGAAGTATGGATGCTTTTACCAGCCAAAAGTCCTGCATGTTTATCAGGTGATAAAAAAACATGCTCCTCATAATTATTCTAAACTCTGAACCCAACCACTGAGTGAAAAAAAGGAGTCAGTACGCCTCTGTTTGCCTGACACTCGCATCTGTTTATCGTCTGTAATTTCGCAAACATGATCATTTGTTCATCCATTTATCAACACATTATGACTTCCCTTACGAAAAAGAAGTTTATTCAAGTGTGCTATTAGTATACTTCTTTTAAACTAAAAATAGGAAAGTATACTTTTAGTCTACTTTTTATGTACTTCTCAGAAATGGGCTTTATGTACTTCTCAGAAATATACTTAAAATGACATTTAAGTATACTTGACTTATACTCAGAAAAAGTCTAAATATATTTTTGCTATAATTGTGCTCCTAGTCCCAAGGAGTATTGGAATCACTCACTTACAAGGATACTACTAGTACACTGATATTTGTATACTTACTACATAAAGTATACTTGAACTTGACTTAAGTATACTTATTAAAATAAACTTGAAGTATACTACTTTTTGGTAAGGGTTACCCACACTTCTGTCTGTCTCTTTCCCATCTATGATTTACAGGAAATACAAAATACAGAATACAAGATCCTAGATCTTGAGAAGAGTCACGGTGAGCAGCTGTAACGGAATGTTTGATCCAAATGGCCGACTTCTTTGTAAATGTTACAGCCAATCAGAACGTCCGATTTACAATCTGATACTGGAGTCCATCACACTAATTGCTGCTGCAAGGGCATCCTCTGCCCCCTCTCTCAGACAACAGCAGGAAATTCAGAGCAGGTTTTATTGGAAGTGGTTTTTGTAAAATGTTTTAAATGGTTATGGAGGTTTTCTCTAGGGCAGAGGGGTGGATGCAGTGTTGAAGTTAAATGTGGGTCAGCCAAATACTTGGACTTACTGGAACCAGATATGCACTGGAACTCGCACACAATGTTTTTACATCTGTTTGAGCTCATAATTTAAACAATATCTAACAATTTCTCTTGTTTTTTGTCTTGTAGCATTAATGAAACCTGGTAAAAATGGATATGTTATGAATAAGGAACATAAAATGTTGTTGTCACAGTAGTCTTCTGCTTTAAAACATAATTTTTTCAAGATTATGTTGTGGTATTTACATGCCTTTTCTGTTGTCAGTCAAAGATTTACACGAGAACTCCAACCATGTACCTCGAAGGAAGGTGCAAAGCATGTGCAGCCTGTTCCTAAAGGTAAACAATGATTATCAGATGTACTTTGAGTTTTCCCCCGTGTTAGGTAAAGTTTTCCATTAAATACACATTTACTTACAGACATTATAAACATGGTTTAAATGGCATTTTCCCTTGTTAAGGCAAACACATTTTGAGTCTTTATTTTCCTCCTAAAATGTGTGACTATGAAACATCATACCTTACACACAACACGGGAAAAGACAGTACTGTGGCAATCTCATGTTTTCAGTGTGGTCTCAGACTTTTGGTTCCATTGTATGTTAACATATAGGGTTGATTCATGTAAAATGAGTCACTTTTTGACAGTTGTCTCAATGTCTAAAAGTTGCCCAATTTAGCTGTATTAACCCTACGATTTTTTATCATTTTGTAATTACAGTTCCAGTGTTTTAATTATAGTATATCTTTCTCAGTTTGGACAGCTTTCATCTACACCCTCGCAGGTTCTTTATGCACTGATGAGTTCAAATGAAGACCGTCTAAAAAAAACTTTGTCTTCCTGCAGGCATCCATTGTATGTTAACATATAGGGTTGATTCATGTAAAATGAGTCACTTTTTGACAGTTGTCTCAATGTCTAAAAGTTGGCCAATTTAGCTGTATTAACCCTACGATTTTTTATCATTTTGTAATTACAGTTCCAGTGTTTTAATTATAGTATCTCTTTCTCAGGTTGGACAGCTTTCATCTACACCCTCGCAGGTTCTTTATGCACTGATGAGTTCAAATGAAGACCGTCTAAAAAAAACTTTGTCTTCCTGCAGGCAAATCCACTAGCAGCTTTCCGTCCTTGAAATTCGAGCAGGTGCTTTATGATAATTTTTCACTTCCACTCTCTCTCTCTTGGACATCTGACAGACATTTAGACTATTCTTATGATCTTGTGCCAATGGCAACTCTAAACTCTCACACTGAGAAATGAGATTGCCAAAGCAGTGTTTGATATGTTGATTTATCAGGTTGATTTAGATGATTTCCAGGTTGTAAGAAATTAAGCACACATTCATTAACAGTAAATACTCCACCTGTGTCTTCAAAGGAGTTTCCAAATGAATCTTGTTTTGCCATTGTTCTCTGGAATATATTTAGTATAAAATAGAGCAAATGTTGAGAAGCAGACTTTATGAAACATTATCTACGTGGGTGGGATAATATGTGGCACCATCTTTGCCCCACAAAACATATCTCTCGCTGACATTTTTTCCTAATTTAATCTACTCTAAACTCTCACACTGAGAAATGAGATTGCCAAAGCAGTGTTTGATATGTTGATTTATCAGGTTGATTTAGATGATTTCCAGGTTGTAAGAAATTAAGCACACATTCATTAACAGTAAATACTCCACCTGTGTCTTCAAAGGAGTTTCCAAATGAATCTTGTTTTGCCATTGTTCTCTGGAATATATTTAGTATAAAATAGAGCAAATGTTGAGAAGCAGACTTTTTGAAACATTATCTACGTGGGTGGGATAATATGTGGCACCATCTTTGCCCCACAAAACATATCTCTTGCTGACATTTTTTCCTAATTTAATCTGGTTTGTGGGGTATCTGGTCTTCAACAACCTTGAATTAGCCTTGGGTTGTTAGCCAGGTCTAGTTATGTAAAATGATTAATGGTGTATATCTAGTTTTATAACATAATTTGTATAGGACTGTGAAATTTATTCTGGCTATTTGAATTTTCCTCAGGCCCAGATGATGATCTGCAGACAATTGAGCCACACCACACAGTGGTTTTGGAAGACGCGTCAGAGTGGAAAACAAGGTATTTATTTTTCTACTGTTCCTAGGAAGCTATTCTGGTTGTTTTTGTATGAATTCATGTTTACTGTAAATTCAGTCTGTTTATTCCCTTTATTATTATTTCCAGGCAGCTGAAGAGTCTCACTTTGTGTTAATTGCTGGTGAACCCATTAATGAGCCTGTGGTTCAGCATGGTAAGTTATAATGGTATTGGTAGGTAATATTTTACATTTTATTGATCAAGTATTTATGAATTAGGGGTATGATTACATGATTTGACTATTCATTAATCAAAATAAATGTATTGCATATCAATATTTGTTGAGAAAAGACCCCAAAAAGATTCAAAGTCATTACATTGTTGTGTCCGTTATATTATAAACATACTATATTTCTGCATTATACAATTTTCATATTTTTCTAAAACCAGAGGATTTATTTGTTTGTTTCAGAGCCTTTTGTCATGAACACACAAGAAGAGATTGATCAAGCCATCTCAGACTACAGATCAGCCACTAATGGATTTGAGAGGGCAAAAGTTTGGCAATCAAAGATTGGTCAAAAGTTCTAAAGTTTATTTAAAGATCCATCTTTATGGGAATATATGTTTAGTTTATGTTTTTTTGTGCCTTGATTGAAAAATGAAATGAAATGAATGAAATATATAAAATGTGTAAATAAAAAGTGAGATAGTAAGATACCACAAAAATAAGTTTTAAATGATTAATTATGGACACGTTCTGTTGTTTTTTTCTTCATAGTTGTGTACTGAACTACGCCTGTGGTTACTCTGCTAGCACAGATCAGTTGTTCATTAAATCACTAAAAGTTGTTCACACAGATCACTAAAAATCAGCTTGGGATCAGTTGTTAAAAGTAATTACAAAAATAGCTCAGAAAAGTAAAGTTAGCTCTGGAAAAAAGCTCTTAACATCATTTGTTTGCAGATGCTGGTGTGATAATTTCATAGAATACACTGATGTTAGGCATGTCGGCTTAGCTCCCCTCCTTTTTCATCCCGCCACTTTGCTGCCTTTAAGTGGAATATTGGCTGGATTCAGTCTCTCTTCTCCACAACTCTCTCTCTCTCCTCCCTTCATCCCTCCATTCCCCCTTACCTCCTCCTCCTTTTCCTTCCCTCCTCCTCCCCCTCTTTCACTCCTTGCCCTCTGTAGAGGTCTGGATCACATTTAAAACCACATGTTCCTGTGTGCGAGCAACTGAGCCTGGAAGTCGGCAAGCAGAGTGGGACTGGAGCATACAGTGACGGGACAGACACGCACGCCTCCCAGACGGCCTTGCACGCACTGGAAGCTGAAGAAGACTGGATGTGAGCCCATGGCGGATTTTGCAACCACACATATAGTTTGACACATCCGGATCTGTGGAGACACTGGGCCAAATCTGGCCAGTCCAAGACGGATGACAGCATCAAGAGGTTGTCCTGATCAGAGAGAAAAAAGAACTGACAGCTCTCAGATTCCATCAAAAATATCTTAATTTGTGTTCCGAAGATAAACGAAGTTCTTACGGGTTTGGAAGGACATGAGGTGAGTAATTAGTGACAGAATTTTCATTTTTGGGTGAACTATCCCTTTAACCCTAACGATTTTAGATCTACATTTGACCACACAATTCATCCACATTTTATAAAAGTGACCATGTTTAGAATCGACACAAACAATAAGGTAATAGATTCCTTTAACCACTGATAATAGATTTGTTTGACGCTTTTAAAGTAAAAGCATTCAGATGATCGGATCGAGCTCGTAGAGTGTGAGTGCAGAGGACGGCACTCACAACCCATTACGCTGCATTAAAGCTCCCTCTAATTCCTGACTCGTATTACAAGCTCATTGTTGAGTCTGCCTGAGAGTGACGCACACACACACAGAGAACGAGAGAAAGGGCATGTCGGCTTAGCTCCCCTCCTTTTTCAAAAAACTGCAGAAAAAACTCGCAGAAAAAAGGAAAAAACTGAGAAGCCCAGAGTAGACCAGCGCAGATGGATGTCTCTTTCTCGTGCTCTTTTTTTTAAAGAGGAGAGCCCATTTGACTTTGGAAAGCTCGTTGTGACAGGTCTCTACTGGTGCGCCTGTGTGGTCCTGTGTGAGAAACCTGCTTCGTGATTTGTGAGCGTGCGTGAGTGTATACAAGACTGGCCTCCCTTGCTGCTCAATCGCTGGACGGTATCCTGGAGAGCAAGTAGCAGAATGAAGACACAGAAATGTGCTGGACTTCACATGTTGTTACTCCTGTATGTCAGACTGATGCTGGCCGTGGACGCCTACAGACCCCAGAGAGTAAGTATGGCATCCCTCAGCAGACATGTAGAACACCACTTGCAGCCAAAACCTCAGGACAGTTTATTTGTTCACAGCCAAATTTGAATGAAACTGAGGTTTAGTTGAAAATAGTTTTCATTTTTATAGGTTTTCAATTGTTATAATGTCCATATTCAGTTGTGAGGTCTTTAAAAAGCAAAGTCTGTTAATTTACAATCTTAAAAATAAGGGTTGCAAGAGAGGGTTTTCCAATGATGCCAAAGAACCAAGAACGAAAGAACCTTTTTTTCTTAGTTCTTAAAACATTTTAAAAATCTAAAAAACCTTTATCCACTATAAAGAACCTTTTGTGGAATAGAAAGTTTCCATGGATGTTAAATATTCTTCATGGAACCATAGATGCAATAAAAGAACCTTTATTTTAAAAGTGCACTCACCCTCATGTCGTTCCAAAACTGTATGATTTTCATTCTTCTGAGGAAGACAAAAGAAGATATTATGAAGAATGTTTTTGTCCATACAATGAAAGCAGTTGGGTCTAAAATAACATTAGACCTCAATGACATTTTTCAAAATATATATATTTTTTCATTTTTGGTTGAACTACCACTTTAACATGGCTGTTACAAGAGGATTTAAGTCATTTTGCGCTGACTCACTGAACAGGGACCTGTTGCAAGCTCAGCAGGGCCGGATGGGGCCTCCTGCTGCGACCTTAAGGTCACTTAATAGCAAATTCGATCATTTTCCTGTGTGTTACCGTGGGAAGTCAGGCTTAAATCAATCTGAAGTAAATGACAATGTTCAGAATTGCAGTCTTCGATGTAAGATGGATGGTCCCTCTGAAAGCACACTGGGAAACTCAATGACTATTAATGAGAATTTCCAAAGACAAGCTGTTAAGGCCATTCATCTGTTCTTCTGTGCCTGTATATCAATGGTAGGTTATGTAAGAAGGGTTATGGGTTCCAAGCAGTGGCGCAATAGCATAATATCCTATTCGTTTTCACAGATACACTCCATAAAGACGCCGTGTTAGCATAAGTGTGTGTGGCGTGTAGTCTGGTTTCCGAGTGCAGCCTGAGGCATTGTAGGGTCTTTTATATGTTCAACCGCTCAATGTTCTCATCCGTCTCATTTCTTCTTCCTTGTTAGGGGCCTCCACCTCATTAATTTTGCACAGTTGTAACTCATACTCTTACTTTCTTTTAAACCCCTCCTCATTCTCTCGCTATTTCTGTTTGTTGTTGCATTGTCTGCACGGGTAATTGAAAGCAGACGGCTCCACCCTAGCATACTGAAGGGATCATAGAAGATCATGTCACTACACAACAGCAGGATACGGGACTTCTCTGGTGATGACTTCCATATCGCGTGCCAGCCCTCCCCATCCCAGCCTCGGCTGTTTTACTTTCCTCCCGCTTTGTGGCTTTCCCGTCTCATAAAAGCATGATTGGAAGTATTTTGGCCCCTGTTGCTCTTTTTTTAATTTGCCCTTTTTGTGGGACACACCCGGTGTGTAGTAAACATTCAAAACAAAGCCAGTGCTGGTTATTGCATGCTTAAATACCTCAATATTCTCAATAACTCATGTGGTATTGATTGAAAGGTGGCAGACCAACTAGTTAAGCAAACCCCATGTGCGTGATCTACTCCACAATCTCTATACACTTGCTATTCTGTAATTAAGGGTAAACCTGTGACAGACCGATGTACTGACCAGGGGTGCATATCCCAAAAGCATCTATGATCTCAAGTTCCATCCAATAGAGTTCAGTGGAACTGGCAACTAAAACTGGCAATGCTTTTGGGAAATGCACCCCAGGCTGGCCAGAATGTATCCTTAGCCGATTAATATAAGTTGGTTAATGTAATAACATACAAAAAGATACATTTTAGGTTACATTTAAACAAATACTAAATAAACGCTCATTTAATCATTTGTTTTCAGGATTTATGCACATATGCTAACATTCAATTGTATTAGGTTATATAGGCCTAATGCGACTGTACATAATCACCCTTATTACTTGGCTACTCACAAAATAAATAAATACGTGGACATGACATATTGCTTTGTTTTGAAATGATGACGTTTTATCATCATATCTGAACATAATTTCTCACTTTCATCAAAAAGTATAGTACAGTATAAAATCTGCCTAGCAGCAAGATGAAAACCGTAACAATATTACAGTAATAATGAGTCAATATTGACATTTTCTTAGGTAATTTTCACTACAATTAATAAATGAGTCACAAGATGGCATCCGTTGTGTTTGAATGATCGAGCGTGCAAATCTGCGTTGTTACACCAGAGATACTAGAAGTAGCCAGATGAGCAGACGGATATACTCTGAGAATATTAGGAAATATCAGACCGCGAAATGCCACGATTGACCAATAAGAAACATGTATTCCAGAGAGAGCCATGTAATGTACATCATATTGGCATTATATTGACCATTATTTACTCTGTAGGTATCAATATCGACATTGGCCACTGAAAGAGTGCCCACTGGTGACTTTGTGAAGGTTATTCTGCAGCTGTCACTCGGCTCTTACTAGTTATTCAATCCATGTTTTGCAAAACAGCCATGATGTTCTGTTCATATTGGTGGCACGCATCCCAAACTCCAATCCCTGGGATATGTGTCTTCACTGAGCTTCTAAACAGGTGGTCCATACTGAGCTAATAGAGCATATGTTCCAGTTGTTTAGAGTGGGCCTCTGCCAGAGGGTGTTCCATGTGTTTGGCTACACAAGCTGGTTTGAGTGAAGAAATTTTGAACTTTATGGCCTGACAATAAGCCTAGACTGAGCATGAAGCTCTAGACAAGTTCTAGAGATTGAACTCTAAAAATGTAGGTCTCACAAAGTCTAACTGTGTGCAATTGTCCAGTCAGCAGAATTGCTTTAGATGAATCAAGACTCCATTCACCCACAATGAAGGTTGCAAATTTCAGCAAGTTGTGAGGGAACACTCTGTGGATTATACTGAGGTTGTAATACTAAGGATATGTGTAATGTCTGATGCAACACTGCCTATTCTTTGGTGAAAGAACTACATGGGGAACAGCTGCATCCTTTCCCTTTTGTAATACCAAATTTTTACACAGCCAAAAAATGCTTCGAAAATCCAACATTATCACTACTGCCCTCTAGTGGATAGAAAGAAAATGCTCCTTTAAATGTGCACTTAGATTTTTTCCTTTTAAAAAGTTGTAGCCAACCACATAATAGCTATCAATATATATGTGTGCTCTCACATTACTGTATTTATCTAGTAATGTGATGGTCGTTAAATCCTGCTGGTTAGCATTTTATCATGGCAAGACTTCACATACCTCACAGACAGCAGGAAGTTTGTATGATGCAAGCCTTTGTAGTGGGTTGTAAAGTTGGGGGGTTTTGAAGTAGGGAGAGAAGGTGTTCCTAATTTGTGTAGAATTAGGGCATTCGTTTGTTTTGTCCTTCCATTTATCTAACACCCACTACATTGTTCCATACTTTTGGCTGAATTTTGCTCAGTGTGCCTCAAACATATTCTTATAAAAAATGCCTTACCTTTGTATTAAAGCAGCACTATGTAACTTTTGGCGCTCTAGCGGTTAATAAACAGAACT